CAAACCCCCTTGTACCCATCTGTACCCTCCAGTGGAACTTACGGCTGGCCCAGCCGCACGAGCCTTTGGGTGCAAACACCCACTTCCATCACTCCCGACTTCGGCACTGGAATCCTCCTCTCTTTGCTGTCTTCCTGGATTTTAAAATGGGATAGTCCAAACTATAGAGAAGTTAAGATTATGGCTTGTTTGGCTTGGCCTTACTATGGGAAGGAAAGTGATTTTTCTTGGGGAGTGATGAAAAGGAAAAATGTTTAAAGTTCATTAACCTTTGGTACAGATAGCAATGTCCTTTAGACTTCACCAGAGCTATTCTTAGTCATGACGTTGAAGTGGTTATTTTTTATTGTAAGGGAATACAGTAGTTCCCACTAGTGGTGAAAAGAGAGAACTTTTTCCTTTTTCTTTTTTTTTTTTTCTTTTTTGGCTTAACCTAAATGTGAACTGTAGAACGCAAGATTTTGAATTCGTTCCTTGTCTTCCCATCTATGCTATTTTGTCCTAATTTCCCCAAAAGCAAAATTTATATCTATAGATTGTTTCTTTACTGGCTAATTAAGTGTTATACAACTTTGCTCTGAAAAACTCAGCAACCCATTCTGTGTATTTGCAAATGAACTTCGCTGATTGTCATTATTGCTATAGGGTGCCTGCAGAAAGCCCCATATAATTAAGCTGTTGTACTACCACAGCACAAGAGCCGCAATTAGTAATGTGATTTACACTTCTTTACCATTAATAACGTGGAAAAATCAACATTATTTTCTTGATGATGCTTAGGAGAAATTAGAATGAGGTGGACATGATTAGGAAAAGAGACTTTAATGTTATGACTTGTTAATGCAATAGCCCTGAGCGAGACATCAGAATGATTGTCCTTGCACTAAACTCATTTGCTTCAGTAAGCACAGCCCCTCTGCACGCAACAAGACAAGTTTGGAGGAAATTGGATAGATGGCAGGGATTTTGGTGGTATGAACATTTCAGTGTCTTTCATGTGCAGAGTACACAAACTGAATCCCCGCACTTTCAAATATTCCCCTAGAGGCAATCTGCATTATTCAAAGCTTAACTATGGCTGTAGAACCCTGTCTGACATGAAAGCAGAGTGCTAGCTTTACATGAACTTTCATATTTACATCTGTAGTACATCGTATTTACTTTTTGCCTCCCCTCCCTCTTTTTCTGGGGGAGAGAGGGAGTAAAACGGGTAGGAGGGAAGGGGGAGGAGGAGAGATGTCCAGCAGAATTGTAAGCAAAGCACCAGTAATAAAGTCTAGTCTTATGAGACTGCCCATGAATAGGAATGATAATGAGAGCAGTGATGAGCTGCAGGTTTGTGTCTTTTAGTAAATTATCTAGCAGGCATTTACATTTCATCAATTGTGCTTTTGCATAATAGACCGAAGTGCTACAACAAAAGGAGGCACCATAAAAATGAGTAATTTCAGTGACCTTCTTGGTAATCGCTCTTACAAAGAATATCTTGGAAGGAGTTGGGTGATTCCTCATGGTGAAGCTGCTGTGGAAAGGCGCCCCAGGCCTGACAAGCTTGCCTGGTGACAAACGCCTTCCAAGGCTTTCTTCTGGCCACTCTGAAACATGGCTTGTATCCTGTTTTCTCCATCTGAGCATGCTTCTAATTGTCAGATGTCAAAAGGCAACAACCATTTTCTTCTTGCTTATCTCCTGATAACATTGATTCTCAAACAAAGGATGTGGGCTTCCATTCTGAAAACAAAGGAAGCATGGCCCAGCTAAGGATGCTGGATATAATATACATACTTTTCCCTGCCAATAATAACAAAGCATCATAAATAATGTAGAAGCTGGATGTGAAAATGGAAAAAGGGGAATACACTGGTACCACTGTTCCTGGGTACAGCACTTACAGAATCTTGTCCTTGACTTCTTCCCTCGTTTTTCTCTTGTATTTCCCTGACTACCTGCCAGCTCCTACGATGTTTAGACTTCAGTATTTTTTTAATTCTTTTTCCCTTTTGGGTTCTGTCTTCATCATGTTCTTGTGAATTTTTTTTTTCTCTTCTCCCCACAATGCTCCTTCTTCAGAGGCAAGTCCTCAGCTGGTGAAAGTCAATTCAGATCTTTCGTTTTTCTCTTGTATTTCCCTGACTACCTGCCAGCTCCTACAATGTTTAGACTTCAGTATTTTTTTAATTCTTTTTCCCTTTTGGGTTCTGTCTTCATCATGTTCTTTTGAATTTTTTTTTCTCTTCTCCCCACAATGCTCCTTCTTCAGAGGCAAGTCCTCAGCTGGTGAAAGTCAATTCAGATCTTTCATTGAGGACTTACAGCGAGGCCAGTTTGCACCAGCCATGAATCAGGCCCACTGCATTACTCATCTGTGCCCGGCCATGACCTGATCTGGCGTTTTTGCATGTTCTCTTCTCCTTTCATAATTGGCTGTCCTCGTTTGTCTGCTCACAGAACCCATGAGAACCACTTCAATCCCAGGCCCACGTCTTCCCTATCTCTCCAGGTCCCTGGTCTGATGGCAGCATTTCCCCTCTTCTGCCTTGGGTTTGCTGTTTTCTTTTACTGTCGGCTTCTCCTTTATATCCAATTGCCAAATCCTACCCTGATGCAACTTTTCTTTCCTTATGTCTTTCAGTGTAACAGTTGGGGAACTGGTGGGAAATGTGACGCTTTACTCACATCCCTTCTGCCAGCCAGGCAGCCGTGTGACTCCAGTAATGGTACTGAATCAGTCCCGTAGCCTTGGGCTAGTCACAAAGAATTTTGGATTAACCTTTTGCTTCTCTCATTTTTTCTCGTGCTGATGCTCAGAAATCAGAGCAGTCCCCTGCCCCTCGCTGTCCTCACCATGACATGCGGGTCCTTCTGAATCCACAAGGTGTTTTGGCCTTGGGACAGCCAAAGACCAGAGAGAGGGCATCAGCAGAGAGGATAAGGGCTTCTGTTGTTATCTCCCTGATGAGATTAATTTTCTTTTTTCATCTCTCTTGGCAGGATCAAAATGCTGGAATTGTTGCCAGACTTCAGGAGCCGGGCTCCATCCCAAGCGGAGGCTCTGTGCCGGCACCAGCCACGGTGAATGGGTACACGATGAGGAACCATTTACTGAAGCAGCAAATAATGAAACGACAGCTGATGCAGGTATGATGCCGAGGGCCGCTGTGGGTTCCTGTGCTGTCCACCTCACTGGGAAGGACAGGACTAACTGGAATGGGGAAATCACCAGTCAGCAAACACTAAGGAGTGACCCTGGAATTGCTGGGTTGAGTCAGACTCGGGCTGTGGCGAGTCCAGAATGTCATGCCCAGGAGAGGCCAGGGCCAAGTGCTGCTCAGCAAGTCCGAGTGCAGATCTGCCCACTCGTATGCAAGGGAAGGATTCAGTCACCTCCGTATCATTGCCGTCATCCTTGGTCAGCCGCAGAGTTGGGAGGGAAGATGCAGAGAAGGGAGGCTTGGAGAGTGAGTCAGCCCCAGGAGAGATGTTCTCCATGCTTGCCTTTCTGTCTGGTTTCCTGGGGATTTACCAGAGCAGATGTTAGGCTCCAGTTTGTCCTGGACTTTGCTGGTCTCTCTAGCAACAGAAGTCCCTGTACGAGGTTTGTAACGTGCTGTGTGAAGGAGTAGGGATGGGGAAATCCCACAGATGAGTTGGGTGGGGCAGTGTTGAACATGTGCCTCTGACTTTCTGAGTGTGCTGCTGGATTTGGGTCAAGGAGGCTCATTTCTTTGGATGGGAAACGAGACAAGAAGTAGCTCGGTAAAACCTTCAACCGAGTACTGTCCTGCTCATTGATCAAACTCCCTTTCAAAACCAACTCTGCCTCCTTGTCACCAGTTGGCTTCAAGCTTATCTGTGCTGCTCAAACACAGTGGGAGTTCAGCCAGGCCTCAGCTTCCACCGTCCGCGGAGAGTTCCCCAGGTCACAGCTGCTGTCCACTGCAGGGATGCGAGTGCAGTGGCGGGTTCTGGGGTTAAATGGTGGGAGATGCAAAGCAGGTCACTTGGAGAACGCCAGCAATGCCTTGCTCAGGGGGCATCTGCGAAGGATCCCTGGCTTCCTGTGGCTCGCTGCTATGTTCTGGTTAAAAGGGGCAACCAGCACAAAAGGTGAGGGTACACACGAGCAGAGCCATCCTTTAGAGAGGGTAATGGCCACCAGCGGTCTTCTGCTCGTCAGTGTGTCCCTGCAATGCTGCCACAGATTCGGTTCACTAATAGACTTTTGGGCACCTTTTGTCCCCGGATCTGGTACTTCAGAGAACACATCCAAATAGCACGAGAGGCTCTGGGGAGACGCCAGGATTCCTGCAGCCTCCGGCTGTCCTGCACTTCAGTCCTAAGCTGGTGAACACGAGGGTCTCCATGTTCATCCAGCTCCCCTTGGGCTGTGGGCTGCCTGCACGGTGTGTGCTGAAGGCTGCGCTCCCTGATGCTGGGCTGTTGTCAGGACACCTTTGCAAGAAGGGGCATGGGAGCAATTAAGATCCGGTCTGAAATGAACTGTCTGGGCTGAGTCTCGTCAGAGGTGTGTGTGCGTGTATGGGAGAGGTTGTTAATGATGACAGTGGCTGCACTTCAAGTGTCTGCTGCTATTCTTGTTTGTCAAGAGGCTGCAACTTGACTATTATGCCCCTTGTTTTCCAGGAAAAGCAGAGACAAAGCATGCTGGGAGTAACATCTGAGCAGAGGAGTTTGTTTGCAGCTCAGCAGATAAATCAGTTTCAAGGTAAGGAGGGAAACGGCGTGCTATGAAAAGCCTCGAGAAGCCAGGGCCTGGGGTCTGATTAAATACAGGGCGCTTAATGACTCTCTGCCCTGAAATAAAAGCATTTCACATTTTATCACATATCATGAGATTCACCCATTTCCTTATCACTCCAGTAATAATTCTGTTACAAAGAACACAGAGGAGAGGCCCATGTAATGAAAAAGAAAGATGGAGCAGCAGCCTTTTAAGGCTCTGCCATGTTTCCAGGGTGAACGTGCGCTTACCGGCTAATGTGTCTCTTTGTATGCAGCCGTGCAGCAGCCCATTCCCGCTGACTGCAGCCAGGTGATGCCAGCTCCTCCGCCCAACCACCGCATGCTGCCGTCTAACCCAGCCATGCTCCAGAGCACCTTGGGCTCTGGCATGGCCCCAGCCACCGCCAGCCAGAGCAGCGGGACGATGGTGATGATTCCACACAACCCTGGCAAGCAGCAGGGGATTTTTCCGCCTAATTCTGACTTTAACATCCCGCTGCGGCCGAGCCAGAACTCACTGGGCATGAACTCGGGGTGCCAAACAGTACATAGCCACTCTGCGATGGCAGGCTTCAGCTCTGGTTCCTTAGCAAATCACTCTGCAACTCAGCAACACTTGAGGCAGCCGAGTATGCCAAGAATCCCTAACGTCTACCCCAACTCATCTGCCCAGATGTGGACGCCGACCGCCGTGCCAAGAATGCCAAATCAAAGCCAAATGGATACCAGCATGCAGCAGTTCTCCGGTAACACTCTCTTCTCCAAACAGAACGTGAGACCCAGTGCACCGGGTCAGCAGTTCTCCCAGCAGGCTGTGGTGCCGCCTAATCAGATTGCTCCCAGCGTCCAGGTCAGACAGATGCAAAAACTGAGCATGGGGCAGTCTGGCCAAGGCTTGAGCTCAATGAGTAATCAGAACTTGAGACACAATTTAACCAGAGGACCGTTGCCAGCTATGAATGTTATGAAATCAATGCCACAAGGCGTGTCCAGTTTTAACCAGCTCAATCCTGCCTCGGGCCTCGGCCCGCCAAGCTACCCTTCCACGGGCCAGCCGCCCGACGCCTTCAACAGGATGAGCACCGCTGCCGAGCTGCCGCAGTATGACTTTGTGTCCCAGCACAGCAATTCGATCATGCCCGCAAACTGCAGTGACACTGACTTCCTCGACTCCCTCATGAAGAACAGCAGCAGCAACGACGAAGAGTGGTTGAACAATCTGACAATGATAGACGACATTTTGGGACAGCACGCTCAAAGCTCCGGACATGTTTAGCTCGGAGAGAAGCAGTCTCGTTGTAAATAACATACGTATGGCTTTTGAACGTAACAGACAACCCATGAAAGCCGCCGCCTCTTTCAATACAGAATGAATAGACTCAGCCAATTCTTTGCTTGCATCAAAGTTTAATATTGGCAGTTTTTCAGATGACTGTATATATTTGAATATTTTGTAAATTATGTTTTCCTAAACCTTAAATGTAGAAGTATTTATACTTCTTTGCTGGACTGTTTGTAAATAAATCTATAGCATAACTTTTGGTTTTATTATAGGGATTTCATTATACCTTGTTATAAATATGCAAATAATATTGTTAGTTTCAGTAATACTGTGTATTACAGCATAAAATACTTATGTTTTTGACATAACTTAACACATGAACTAGGGGTGTCATTGCAACCAGACTAAGCAGAAATCAGATGTGGCATCTGTTCTCCCATATCAAGAGAAAAGATTGAAATGTTGCATTAAAAAAACCCAAAATCCATAAAAGGAGCTGCTGATTCCCTCATAGCTCAGTCTCGCAGCCCGATTCTGTTATGTAGGTCCCATCTGGGCTCCCAGTGCGTTCAGGGATCTGCCCGCAGAGATCCATTTGCAAGATCCCGGGCACATTCTCAACTTGGTACACTCCAGTGGCTCGACGTGACGCTGACGACGCGCCGTCCGTTGTCCTGCAGCGAGCGTGTGCTGGGGACGTGGCAGCTGCTGACCGGCGTGCGCGTGTCTGGGCGTCGCGGGCGCGGCGCTGCCCGAAGTGGGTTACGCGGGAGAGGAGGCGCTGGGCCCGCACCGCCAAGCCGCCCCGGCGACTGCGCCCTTCAGCGCAAAGGTAGCTCTGGTTTGCGCACCTCTGCCATGTATATTTGTAGTGTACAGGTGATTTGTTCCTGGTTTTAAGGCTTTTCATAATTTCTGTTTTAATGTGAGACTTTTTTCAGGGCAAAAGTCTATAAACATTAATAGTTAATTTTTGATGTTTTTCTGTCAGCTACTATTGTCCTATGTATATTTAAAAGTCTGTTTATAAAAGATTCACTGTACTGTAAACTTCTTAAAATGTTCATACTTTGTGTAATCATATTTTAATAGTCACGTCATACTTCGCAATACATTTGTAATATAACGTCAGCTTCAAGCACAGAATGTTTTTTTCTTCATACCATAATAAACTGCCAGGGGAAAATTGCATATACTTTATGTGCTCATTTCTCAGCTACAACGTTTTGTACCTGCAGATATTTGAATTAATTTGATTTGTCCAGGATGCTACAACGTCAATTTAATAACATGTACAAATGTGTGTGTGCTGTTAGTAAAAGAAATGGGCTATACGAAGAATTGAAGCAGGCTTTAATTTTATTTTAAGATGGGATTTCTTAGGCCCGCTCTCCTTTCCAGTGTAATTATAGGTGAACGTGAAATTAATCTCTGCTGGGTTTTTTTTACACAGCACCATGTTTATTTAAGTGACAGTTTTTGTTTCTAAATGCCAGCATCAGTTGGCCCATCAGAAAATAAAGCGGCGGGTACGACATGTCGCTCCTCCAACACAGAAACCGTCTGACGGGAGAGCTGGTGCCTGCCCTGGGGGAGGCGAGGCTGGGAGGGGGGGTAGGAAGGAACGGGAAAATTTTAGCAATCTTAAACAAATGTACAAATAGGATCTGTAGCTAAAATTGCCTTGTTTAAACAGAGCCAGATGCCGCCCCAGCTTCCCAGGGCTGGTGGAGAAGCCGTGTCAGTGCTGCCCTTTGTCCTGGGCACACTGTGGGCACAGCAGCCTGAGGAAATCCCCTGGGGGGGATCTCCCTCAAACTGGTCCATGCTGGAGGGAGGGGTTGGGCAAGGTTGTCCCCACCCTGGAGTGGGTCCTTCTAGAAGCCTTTTCTCCAGAGCAGGAAACAACTCCTGAAGTCAAAAATGAGAGGGGACAGTCAGGGTTTAAGGCAGTCGGCTGCAAGCTCTGCTGCCGGTGCTCCGGTGGGCAGGAGACCTCTCCTGAGCACAACCACCCCAGGCCGCGTTGGAGATCCCTGTGGCTTCCTGATGGCAAAGGTGCCAGAGGCTCCCAGGGGAACGGCCCCTAACCGGCTCCGTCTCCAGAGTGGCACGTACTTGTGTGAAACCAGGGCGAGGAGGAAAGAAGGCAGTTTTTCCAGCAAAGGAAATCAGCTCCACCAAACAATTGCCCAAAACAGGCTGTAAAACTCGGCCGGTGTCTGAATGAGACAGAAACGCCGACTCTCCTCCAGACAGCAGAGAGGGGGAGAAATGCCTGCGAGCGCGTCTGTGGCGAGGACAAAGGTGAGTTTGTTTGGCTGTGAAAACTGGCACCGTTTCAGCAGCTTTTCTGTCGTGAGCTGTGTCCTGCCAGGGAGCAGCGCTGGCTGCGGCCGGGCCTTCGGGTCTGACCACGGGTCCGGGAGCCAGCAGCGCCTGGCCCCCTCCGGGTTAGCAGCACGGCAGTCACAGATGGCAGAGAAGGCTACTGCCCACACACTCTTCTTTAGGATATTAATAAACGTAATAAAATGCCCTCTTTTCATTTGTCATTTTGTTTGTGTCAATGCACCTTTCAGTTCTGCAGGATTTGGGTTACAAACACTGGGGGGGACACATTTTCAAAAGCCAACTGTTTCCCACAGAATGTATGGAAAACAGTTTATCTTGTCCCTGAGTTGTGCAGCCACTTGTTTTTGCTCTGTTTTTTGTCTAGCTTTTGAGCTGGTGGAGCTTTTCATCCCTCCGTATCCCAGTTCCTCATGTCTCAAGAGGGAATGATGATCCTTCCTTGCCACGGAGGTGCTGTGAGGAGCCAAGCTTGGAAGAACAGGACTAAGTAGTAGCATTATTATCTTGCTGTCTCTGGTTTGTAACTGCTGATCCTTAAACGTATCTGTTGGGGGGCTGGCACGTAACCACAGTGGCCAGTGCTCTGCTTGGGTTGCTGGGTGCTGCCTCTGCCTTAGGCGAGGAGGCAGCTCGGGCTGGGGCACTGGGCACGCAGGGACGCGCAGGGTGAAGGCATGGTGACCGCGGGCTGGCGTTCCAGCAACTGGAACACTAGCACTGCAGTTCTGGTTGGTGTCAGGCTGTAACAGGTAATGCCTCTGTCACAGTAAGTTGTCTGTTTTGTTCTGCAAAAAAATACCATCGTCTGTGCTTTGCTTTCCCCTTTTCTTCTCTCTGTTTTAAGTGTGAATATGCCTAAAGTCTGATCCTGCCTTTGCTTTCATGGTCCGTATCACTAACTAGTGAGGGAGTAAGACTAAATACATCTGCACAGTTCTCCCATTGCATTTACTGGACGAGCAGATCACACCACATGGCCTACGTAGACTTACGCCACGAGCCAAATTCTGCTGCCTTACAGGCAGTGTAAACACGGAATAGGTCTCCCGAAGACAGTGGTGTAGCACGGGACTTACACAAGCGTAAATAAGAGCAGCATCTGGTGCTGTGGAAGTGCAAAATGAATTTGGATTTCTAAAATAGTTACAAGGAATGAAGTGTCTGACAGCACTCGCTGTTGAAAGCTATCATTTATTTCCCAAACAAGTTACGTCACCAGACTGCCCTCATAATTATGGCCATGAAAACAGAGGCAAGGCAGTAAGCTTTTTCCTCTTGGATTCTAAAATAACATCAAATGCCTATAAAGGCCAGAATTTCCAAAGACCTGAGCTCACTAAAAGCCTGTCTGTCTAAAAGGTTAGTAACATAGGTAAGTTGGACTTATTACAGAAAAATTTTCTTTGTGGATTGTATTAATATAAAGCAGCCCATTTTTGACAAAGGCAAAACAAAAAACCACGCTCATTCCTATCAGAAAGCATGCAGGGAGTGCCTAGGAATAGATGTCATGGGAGCCTGGATCAGGCAGTTTCCCCGGGAAGCCTATCCCTGACTTATGCAGAACCTGAGCTCTGCTGCGCGGTGGCTCTCCAGGATTGATTACATGTCTTGCTTAAGAAGCTTTCAACAAAGGAAGCTGCACTGATGTTGAAGTGTAAGGTCAAGTTCTCCTCTTGTGTAGGATGTTGTAAATCAGGAGCTATTCCACTGCCTGCAGCAGGGTAACCCCTGATTTACACCAGTCTGGAGCAGGAGGGAGCACTTGGCGAGAGGCTGGCACTTGCCTCGTGGTCCTGCCCTGACGGCCCCGTGCTGTCGGAGAGGCACCGCAAACGTGCAGGGTGGCCCCGGGAGAGGACCCGCTCCGCACTGGCACCCGGCTGCAGGGCAGGCAAGGGTGAGGGAAGGCGTGAGGGCGAGCGGCCGGCCGCTGTGGCAGCTCTGCCTCCCCTCCCGCCGCGTGTCTGCACTGAAGGGCAGGTGGCACACACTCCCGGGGGCACGCTTGGCCCTGGCACATCTGCCCAGCCATCTATTCAGGCTGAGCTCAGGTTTTGGTGCTTAATGCCAAATTAATGCCTGTTTCACCTTCTATTCCCTGCTGTATATATAGCAAATTTAAAAAAAAAAAAAAGAAAAGAGTCTGGAAGAGAGTGAGGTGTTTTAAATACCAATAAGGGTCTCTCCTGGGCAAGCTAAAACACAAGTACTGGTTGGCAGCTGCAGGAGTTACTGAGAACTTAAGACTCCGGCTGGTCAAGAGGCCTCCTGTGTACAATCCTGCATAAAACGGGGGAAAGGCGCCTTATTAAAGCAGCCAGGCTGAAACCAGTAGAGCCGTAGTTAATCACAGCCATTTTCTTTGCTCCCTCCCCGCTCATTCGATGGTTTTGTAGCACTGCGCAGAACAAATACGCTGTTTTATACACGTCTTGATCCATTTCCCGTTATGCGGCAGGTCTGGGACTTGGCTTTCATCCTCGCTCTGCCCGAGGCAGCCATTTGCCTAACAAGGGCTCGCGCTGTCTGCGTTGGGCTGTGTGTGGGTGTTGGGCTGTGTGCGTTGGGCTGTGCATGGGTGTTGGGCTGTGTGCGTTGGGCTGTGTGCCCTCCACGTAGCCAAGCACGCGTGACCA